CTGCCTCTAGAACATTAAATGTTCCAGACCAGTCTGGCCAACATGGTGAAACTCCATCTTTACTGAAAATACAAAAATTAGCTGGGCATGGTGGCGCACGCCTGAAATCCCAGCTATTTGAGAAGCTGAGGCAGGAGAATAGCTTGAACCTGGGAGGTGGAGGTTGCCTTGGCTACGAGCGAGACTCTCATACACACAAAATAACACAGCAGGTGTATGAGGAACTTTAAATGTCTTTCCTAACTTACTGTATGCAAATAAAAGTAGATACTTAAGAAATTGTCTAAAAATATTTAGTAAACCCATTTCTACACAGACAAATTAAAAGTTCTGAGAAATCAGGCTAAAATAACCTCAAATTTATAAGGTTTGATTAATAAATATTTACCTTTGCATATACACGAAAACAAAAAAAGGAATACTTTCAATTTCAATAAATTGAAATCAAGTACAAATTTTGACTCCCCTTCCTAAACTGAATAAACTCTTAAAAAGCAGACACACTTTACTTGTGTAAACACTCTTTTTTTTTTAAACGGACTTTCACTCTTGTTGCCCAGGCTGGAGTGCAATGGTGGCATCTCGGCTCACCGCAACCTACACCTTCCGGGTTCAAGCGATTCTCCTGCCTCAGCCTCCCAAGTAGCTGGGATTACAGGCATGCACCACCACGCCTGGCTAATTTTGTATTTCAAGTAGAGATGGGGTTTCTCCACATTGGTCACGCTGGTCACGAACTCGCGATCTGACAGATTCTGTTTTCACATGCCCCTACATGGGTGGGACTGCTTCAGGATTCTAAAAGACAGTACCTTCTGGTGCACATTCTAAGATGGAACATAATTCTACTCTTTAAAAATCATTAGAAAGTATGTATTAATGAACTTTGGCTTTTATTAACTTTCTGGTCATGGCTGTTTGTTTGATGCAGAGTCCTTGACTGTAACAGAAACCTCAAGTAGGGGAAACGTTCACTTTGTAACGATTTCCTTATGATTGATTGACATGTCAGTATAAAATGGATGAGGAATTATACACGTGTTGTATACTGCTATTAATGTTTGGTACAGTGCTTTCTTTAGGGTTTTCATTTTGAGGGGTTGTTAGATCCAGCATTTTCTGGAGCAGAATGCCTTTTAAAGGGAATTTTGTCTTTTTGGGAAATAATTTATAAAAGTTAATTTGGAAAAAGCTGAATTTAAATATGTGTAGCTCTTATAATTATGAGCTTTTTACATTTACACTGACGTTCTTTTGTATAGGAGTTAAAGTTCCTCGTAATTTTCGCTTGTTGGAAGAACTTGAAGAAGGACAAAAAGGAGTAGGCGATGGTACGGTTAGCTGGGGCCTTGAAGATGATGAAGATATGACACTTACAAGGTGGACAGGCATGATTATTGGGCCACCAAGGGTCAGTGTTATAAATTATATTTTTTCTATTAATACTTATTGTTACTTTAGAGTTAACATTTAATTTTATACTATTGATATTAAAATAAGCAATTATGATAACTTCTAAAATAGTTCCTTTTTATTTATTTTGTTTACATTTATTGATGCTTCCCATGTTCAGGATATAATCCTTGATTACGTAGAGGATTGCGGAGAGGAAGGTTGATACGGTCATTGCCATCAAAGTTTTGCAGTTTAGTAAAGGAGAAAAAAATCAGTACAAATTGACAGATTCTAAATATGACAGAGCAAGTTCACTGCGGGACTTTAGAATATGTTTCTTCTAGCTGGAATAATTGAGGAAGGCTGAACAGTGGAGGAAGTTGCCTTTGGAATGAGCGCTAAAGGACTGACTGGTAGGATTTCAGAAGGTGGTGATGGGGATGGAGAACATTCCAGATAGAGAGGACAAAAGGTGAGGAAATGGAGGGGGTATGTGGGGAGAGCAGTCATTTTGACGTAACATGTTACTAACCTCTGGTGTGAACCTGAGGGTTTCTAAATTGGTTTGCATTGAGTGCACGTTGCTATTTGCCCTCTGACACTTCACATGCCATAGAAATGCTGTAGGTCTCAGTTTCTTCATCTATAAAAAGTCTATGATTCTTGCACTTTTTTCTAGTATGGTTGGCAACTGGCCCATTGTACTTTGTCTTAGGTCTTTCTTGGGTTTATGAAGTTTTATTTTTACTCAAAGTCTTTTTATCTAGCTTGGGATTTTTTTTAAATTTTTATTTATTTATTTATTTTTACGTTGCATTCCTTACTTAATGGTCCCATCCACTGCACTCCTTGCAGCGAATCTTTGAAATGTGTGTCTGTAACGTTTTTGGCTTGTTAGAAAGAGCACACATTTGAAGGGTTTTTCAAGTCTTTGGTTTTGTATACTGGTTGCTACCTTATGATGAGAGCATTTCAACAGTTTTGCTCTTGGGTAGAGTTTAGAGTTCCATCTGATGATGATGATGATGATGATTATTATTATTGAGACAATATCTTGTTCAGTCACCCAGGCAGTGGTGTGATCTCAGCATACTGCAGTCTCAGCCTCCTGGGCTCAAGCAATCCTTCCACCTCAGCCTCCTGAGGTGGTGTGCACCACCACTGCTGGCTAATATTTGTAGTTTTTGTAGAGAGGGGGTTTCACCATGTCGGCCAGGCTGGTCTCAAACTCTTGGCCTCAAGTGATCCACCTGCCTTGGCCTCCCAAAATGCTGGGATTACAGGTGTGAGCCACCGCACCCAGCCCCTCCTGATTATTACAAAAGAAAAATGTATCAGGTAATTAGCAACATTAATTATAGAGAATGAATTAGTGTGTTTTATGTTGTTTTCTGGTGTTCCTTTGCAAAATTCATGCACACTCCTAAACTGATAGGCTCCCTGTGTACCTTGCTGTATTTTTTCCTAAAGACATTTGAGGAAGGAAATATAATATTGATGGATAGAGTTCCTTATAACTTGGTATGCATAATGAAAACCTTGATTTTCACTGCCTGTGAACGTTATTACTATGGTCTGTTTGGTTAAAAAAAAGTGCTTATAATTGATGAACATTCTGACTTACTGATTTGAAGATTTAACAGTCAGAACTTGGTAGAATATAAATTTGGAATTATTTAGATTTGGTTTTTCTCCAGCCACTGCCTGCAGCAGACTTTATTCTTTAAGAATGTTTTGGAGCTTGTGATGAGTTCATCAGTGGTCTTGTGGGCTGACCCACAGCACAGTTCCTAGCTGTGGTGGACCGGCTCCTGCTTGGTCTTTCACCCGGTTGGGGCCCCCTGCAGGATGCCCCAACTGGTTGCCATTCCTGGTGTCACTGAACCTCAGGAAACTCCATCCACTGGGATGGGGGTGAAGGCTGCTTCTCCACAACTCTCTCCTCGCTCAAGGGGCGCAGGGCACACTGACAAGATGCTATGGCGGTCCTCCACTCTCAGTGGTTGGTGGTTTTGGAGCTGCAGGGGAGAAAAGGTCGTAATAGCTTTTCCTCACTTGTCTCAAGCTTCATGGCTGAGGCACTTATAATAAAAGGCAGAGAAAAGCATACAAATTTATTTAAGTTTTACATGACATGGGAACATTCAGAAAGGAAGACCCAAAGAAACAGGGAAACCTGTGTATTTTTATGATAAATTTGGTGAAGAGTGGACAGTAATGTAACAGCGTGATTGGATCTGATGGTAACACACTAGGTAATAAACTGGGGGAACTTACCAGGGCCTGTTTGTTCAGATTATTCCTGTGTCTATGGATTTCATTCCTTTCTTGGCATAAGACAAGACCCCTTTGGAGTGGTTCTCATGACCTACTTCATGAGGAGGTCAGCTAGATTTTAGGGTCTGCTTCAGAGGAGAAGGGGGCGAAGGTAAGGTAAGAGTAACCTTGCTTCTGCTGTTTTCTTAAGTGCCAAGGTGCCGTACTTTGGGATAGTGTGTCTTGAACCTCATCAGAGACCCGCTCACTTCCTTTGAGTGCCAGGCAGAGGTAGGAGGGTGTGCCCTGCAAAGGCACAGGCTTCTTCTGGAGCTGGCCTCTGCTCACCACCTGATGATCTTCTCTGCATCACCCTCTCTCTCAGTTCTCTTGAAGGCAGGAGGTTATAGCGGGTATATTCAGTTGCCTTTTCATAAAACAGGCAGGAGTTGGTGTCCTACCACAGTTGTTTTCTCCTTAGAAGGTGAGATGTTGAGAACAGTTTTATCTCCAGGGTAGAGTACCTACATCTCGCCAGAAGAAAAGGAAGACTTTTTTGTTTGTTTGTTTGTTTTTGAGATGGAGTTTGGTTCTTGTTGCCCAGGCTGGAGTGCAATGGTGTGATCTTGGCTCACCGCAACCTCTGCCTCCCAGGTTCAAGTAGTTCTCCTGCCTCATCCTCCCTAGTAGCTGGGATTACAGGCATATGCCACCACACCCAGCTAATTTTGTATTTTTTTTTTTTTTTTTTTTGAGACGGAGTCTTGCTCAGTCACTCAGGCTGCAGTGCAGTGGTGCGATCTCAGCTCGCCACCGCATCTGCCTCCCGGGTTCACGGCATTCTCCTGCCTCAGCCTCCCGAGTAGCTGGGACTATAGGGACCCACCACCATGCCCTTTTAATTTTTTGTATTTTTAGTAGAGACGGGGTTTCACTGTGTTAGCCAGGATGATCTCGATCTCCTGACCTCGTGATCCGCCCGCCTCGGCCTCCCAGAGTGCTGGGATTACATGTGTGAGCCACTGTGCCTGGCCTAATTTTGTAGTTTTAGTAGAGATGGGGTTTCTCCATGTTGGTCAGGCTGGTCTCAGCCTGACCTCAGGTGATCTGCCCACCTCGGCCCTCCCAAAGTGCTGGGATTACAGGCGTGAACCACCGTGCTGGTCGAGAGGAGGAAGACTTTTAACATACTGTTACATGGTTGGTTGTTTTTTATTTTTGTTTTATTTTATTTTGAGATAGTCTCACTCTGTCACCCAGGCTCGAGTGTAGTGGCCCAATCACAGCTCACAGTCTTAACCCCCTGGGCTCAAGCAATCCTCCCACCTCAGCTTTCTGAGTAGCTGGGACTATAGGGGCACACCACCATACCTGGCTAATTTGTGTGTGTGTGTGTGTGTAGAGACAGGGGTCTCACTATGTTGACAAGATGGGTCTCAAACTCCTGGGCTCAAATGGCCCTCATGCCTTGGCTTGCCAAAGTGCTAGGATTATAGGCATGAACCACTGTGCCTGGCCAGTTGTTTTTTATTTTTTATACTTTATTGACTAAAGGTCCCTGTTTTTTTTTTTTTTTTTTTTTGAGATGGAGTTTTGCTCTTGTTGCCCAGGCTGCAGTGCAATGGCGTGATCTTGGCTCACCGCAACCTCTGCCTCCCAGGTTCAAGCGATTCTCCTGCCTCAGGCTACCAAGTAGCTGGGATTACAGGCACGCACCACCATGCCCGGCTAATTTTGTAGTTTTAGTAGAGATGGGGTTTCTCCATGTTGGTCAGGCTGGTCTCGAACTCCCGACCTCAGGTGATCCGCTTGCTCGGCCTCCCAAAGTGTTAGGATTACAGGCGTGTGCCACCGCATCCAGCCAGATCCCTCATTTTTTATGTTCTAGTATTTATTTGGATTTATATGATTAGCAGTTTTTCTTTTCTATGTTTCTGTGTTCAGTTTTCTGAAGCAATATTTGTTGTCACTAGAGTTTAGTACTTTGTCAAGTTTTCTCATATGTAAATGAAGGTACTGTCTCCATCTTTAAAATAGAAACAGTATGAGAATTAAGTGAAATAATGATTACATAATAGGAGAATACCTGAGTACTTGACTTAGTAAATATTAGTTTGTTTTTCTCCTCTTTTTTTTTTTTTGCTCTTGCTTTTTGTTAGATAACAGGAAAACTTGGCTGTTAATGTAATTTTTTTTTTTGAGACAGTCTTGCTCTGCCACCCAGGCTGGAGTGCAGTGGCTTGATGTCAGCTCACTGCAACCGCCACCTCCTGAGTTCAGGTGATTCTCCTGCCTCAGCCTCCCGACTAGCTGGGATTACAGGCATGTGCTACCAATTTTTGTCTTTTTAGTAGAGACGGGGTTTCACCATGTTGGTCAGTCTGGTCTCGAACTCCTGACTTCAGGCAGTATGCCTGCCTTTGGCCTCCCAAAGTGCTGGGATTATAGGCATGAGCCACCATGCCCAGCCTGTTAATTTAAAATTTAGAGGGGATAAAAACAAAGGTGTCAGAAGTTAGGGTGATATTTACTGTAAGCATTGGATTAGATTAATAGGCTAGCTTTGGGATTAAATTTTTTTTCTTTTTCTTTTTGAGACGGAGTCTCGCGCTGTCACCCAGGCTGGAGTGCAGTGGCACGGTCTCAGCTCACTGCAACCTCCAGGTTCATGCCATTCTCCTGCCTCAGCCTCCCGAGTAGCTGGGACTACAGGCGCCCACCACCGCACGGAGCTAATTTTTTGTATTTTTAATAGAGATGGGGTTTCACCGTGGTCTCGATCTTCTGACTCGTGATCTGCCTCGGCCCCCCAAAGCGTTGGGATTACAGGTGTGAGCCACCGTGCCCAGCCTAAAATTTTTTTTCTTAACATAAAATCCTTCAGAAAAGAGCTTTGGTTTTTTGTTTGTTTGTTTGTTTGTTTTTTAACTTAAAAGGAATTGAGGTAGAATTTACATGTAGTGAAATGCACAGATGTGCCGTGAGTTTGACAAATGTAGCTTGTTACCCCTACGGAAATAAAGAACATTCCCGTCAGTCCAGAAAGCTCCCTGTGCCCTTTCCCACACCCACCCCTGCTTCCTGCACCTGAGAGATTTGCATGTTGTAGAGCTTTGATAAGTAGGGTCATGTAGTGGGTACACTTACGGTTCTCGTCTTTACTCAGCATGAAGTCTGAGCAATTCAGTTGTGTTGTCTCAGGTAGTAGGAGTGTGTTTCTTTTTATTGTTGAATAGTATTTTACTATATGGATATACCACAGTGTGTTTATCAATTTTTTTAATGGACATTTGGATTTAATCTACATTATTGCTTTTACAAATAAAGCTGCTATGGGCATTCTTGTAGAAGTCTTTTTGTGAACATGTTTGTTTCCATTTCGTTTGGGTAAATGCCTAGGAATAGAATTGCTGTATCAGGGCCGGGCGCGGTGGCTTGCGCCGGTAATCCCAGCACTTTGGGAGGCCGAGGCAGGCAGATCACGAGGTCAGGAGATTGAGACCATCCTTGCTAACACGGTGAAACCCCGTCTCTACTAAAAATACCAAAAATTAGCCAGGCGTGGTGGCGGGTGCCTGTAGTCCCAGCTACTTGGGAGGCTGAGGCAGGAGAATGGCGTGAACCCGGGAGGTGGAGCTTGCAGTTAGTGAGTCGAGATCGCTCCACTGCACTCCGACCTGGGCGATAGCAAGACTCCGTCTCCAAAAAAAAAAAAAAAGAATTGCTCTATCATAGGGGTGTCTGATATGCATCCAGATTGGAGAACCACAGCCAAGATAATCTTTAGATCTATCTGATTTTAGTCATTTTTATATATTGAAAGTGCTGGGGATATTATTAATATTTGCGTGCTATTAATCTCAGAAAAGTTTTATATAGCTTTTTTTCTTAAAAATATTGAAATATTTAATAACATACATATAAGATTGTTGCATAGGTTTTACATTAGAGTAGTTTAATACTGCAAATCTGACCTCCATTTGGATAGCTCTTGTTTATGGGGACGGGATCAGTTTGAATAGGTGAGATCTGTAGATGGTTGATTAGCTTCTCCCTCTCTGGTCTTATTCAGCAGTCAGCAGGTACTAAATTTTTCACTTTCATGTATTTATGTATATATTTTTATGTTATTTTAATTATAATTTAGAAAATTTATTAAAATTTCAATAATTATAAATTCTCTTTAAAACAATTTTTTTCTTTTTAATCTCCTGAGTCAAGGTGAGGATTCATTTATTTTTTTTTGGTATTTTTTTTTTTTTGAGACGGAGTCTTGCTCTGTCGCCCGAGCTAGAGTGCAGTGGCCAGATCTCAGCTCTCTGCAAGCTCCCCCTCCCGGGTTTATGCCATTCTCCTGCCTCAGCCTCCCGTGTAGCTGCCCGCCACCTCGCCCAGCTAGTTTTTTGTATTTTTTAGTAGAAACGGGGTTTCACCGTGTTAGCCAGGATGGTCTCGATCTCCTGACCTCGTGATCCGCCCATCTTGGCCTCCCAAAGTGCTGGGATTACAGGCTTGAGCCACCGCGCCCGGCTAAGGATTCGTTTATTTTTTACTTTGCTGTTTTAATGGTACACTAATAAGTTAACCAAGTGAACAAAAGCCATAGGAGAAAGAAGAACTAATTTATAGGCATGAAAATAAGCCCTGGATAATCTAGAAGCTTTAAGTTTGATACCTATTTGAAAATGATGTGTAAACATAAAGTTTGCTATTGTTTCTCTGAATTCAGATAATGGGATTTAATGAACCTCAAAATTAGTGAAGTAGCAACGTAAGTATAACTAACAGGAGACATAAAATAATTATGTTTTATTGCTGCACAATGGTATAATGTGGGGTTTTCTTTTTTGCTAGAAGTTATTGATTGCCATATTAAGTAGGATGATCATATAATTTGTTATCCAACAAGACCCTTTTGAGAATGAAAACAGGCACTATTAATAGTCAATTCTGGAACAATAGGAATAAGCAGAACTGTTGTGTAAAACAGAAACCTCATATATGTTTGACACAAGTCTCAAGTAGCCCCTCCCTCTACAATGTAAACTTTTTAGCAAAATCTAAATTTAAGTGGTTTGGTTTTTCCTTCTTCCTTCTTCCTTCTAATGTTACAGGCATCATTTTTATCACAAAAGCAAGTTGTGATCATATTGATAATACTTTGTAGAATTAATTTGGTAAGATCTCATGGAATTAATTTTGTAAAATCTCAATTTTTAAGTATGCTTATTGCATTTTTTCTCACCATAGAGGTGAAATAAATTTGAATGTGGAAAAATAAATTCTTAATCATAAACACTGTCTTATCAAGTACATTCATATTGTACTTTTCCTTTTTTTTTTTTTTTTTAGCACTTAGACATTAATATTTTAGGTATTGTTATTTTGATTCTTTTTGTTTTTTGCCTTCCAGACAAATTATGAAAACAGAATATATAGCCTGAAAGTAGAATGTGGACCTAAATACCCAGAAGCTCCTCCGTCAGTTAGATTTGTAACAAAAATTAATATGAATGGAATAAATAATTCCAGTGGGATGGTAAGTTAATATAGTCATATTGGTTTTATATAACATAATGTATAGAGTTATATGTTAATTATACATACACACAGCATAATATGTGTAAGATATTAATATGTAGTTAGGAGAAAGTTTTTAAAAGAGGACTTTTGTTAAGCCAGAAGTCTAAAGAAGGTTGCATTATGTTGTTTTTATTTTATTAATATAAATTAGGCCATCCTTAAAAACCTTAATGTGCTTGCCTGGAATAGATGTATGTGGTGGTTAAAACTTTTTTTTTTCTTTCTTTTTTTTTTTTCTGGAAACAGAGTCTCACTCTGTCGCCCAGGCTGGAGTACAATAGTGTGATCTCGGCTCACTGCAACCTCCGCCTCCTGGGTTCAAGCGATTCTCCTGCCTCAGCCTCCCGAGTAGCTGGGATTACGGGCACCCACCATCATGCCCGGTTAATTTTTGTATTTTTGTAGAGACGGGGTTTCACAGTGTTTGGCCAGGCTGGTCTCGAACTCCTGACCTTAGGTGATCCGCCTGCCTCGGCCTCCTAAAATGCTGGGATTACAGATGTGAGCCACTGTGCCCAGCCAAAAGTTTTCTTAGGGTTTTAATTGCCTTAGTAGTCATATTTCAGTTGATCTTTATTTGGTAAAAAGATGACCATTATTGGGCGGGGCATGGTGCTCACTCCTGTAGAGATTGTGCCACTGCACTCCAGCCTGGGCGAAAGAGTGAAACGCCGTCAAAAATAAAGATGATCATTATTTCTCTTTGAATGTTACTTTTCTGAGGGTTAAGGTACACTTGGTGGGATTAAAAGGATGACTATTCATGAAAAGGATGAATATTCATAAAGAGTTTTTTTCTTTGAGGAGCAAGTATATCTGTGTTGAAACAGTCATGGCTGAGCATCATTGTCTGTTTATTTTTGGGTTTCAGTCTGTGCCCCAGGCTGTAGTGCAGTGGTACTCCCCCACTTCCCCTGGCCTCAAGTGATTCTCCCACTTCAGACTCCTAAGTACGTGAGACTGCAAGGCACATGCCACCAAGCCCAGCTAATTTTTATATTTTTTGGTAGAGATGGGGTTTTGTCATGTTGGCCAGGCTGGACTCAAACTCCTGACCTCAAGTGATCCGCCCACCTTGGCCTCCCAAAGTGCTGGGATTACAGGCGTGAGCCACTGTGTCCAGCTTATTGTCTCTTTAAACAAAATGACATGCCCTGCTTGACCCACACAAGTTAGTTAGTAGAAACAGCTGAATTTCCAATATGAGTAGATTGTTAAGTTCATGATAAGTCTTTGAAGCCTAGGCTCTCTTGGTGCCATGTTGAGAGCACACCACATACAAAATACATTTTAGGAAGCAAAATAACATATCATCATCATAAAATTAGTATCATCCATCTTAGGAAATAGGATCTCAGTATCCTTGATTTCTCATCCCATCCCTGTGTTTCCTCTCTCTACCAGTGTATTTTGTACTACAAATGTATCACATATGTACACAAATTCATCCTCCTTTCTTCTCTCCTTCTCTCTTTCCTTCTCATCTATTTACCATCTGTTAAAAATTACGAGTTTATACTAACAACTCCCACTAATTTTATTCTAAGACTATAGGGTTTGTTCTGTGATTCTTCCTTTCCATTTGAGAAACCTGGCTCCCATGCTCCCCAATGCATTTACTTATTTACTCAATTTCCCCTTCATATAACTGTACTTCTGGCAACAAGTTGAATCTTGGATTCACAGCCAGCTCCCTGCCCCTCATCCCCAACCTAATATGCAGGTCTGAGGCAGGGCCCCAGATTGGCTGGTGCGTCCAGCAGGGAGGCACCAGGCCAAATAAAGCATGACCCTGAGAAAGGAAGAAGGTGGGAAAAGGTCATTGGAAACCTTAGCCCTGCACCTGCTAGGCCATTAACACCCCCCATACCCCTCCCACTGCCCACCCCTGTGCCAACTCAGAGCTGGGACCTGACAGTCTCTCTAGCCCTCACAGTCCTCAGTTGGTCAGTCTTTGTGATTTACTGGGAGCATTTAGTCCATTTACATTTAATATACATAATTACTGACATGTTCAGGTTTAAATAGATCATCTTAGTTGGTGGTTCCTATTTTTCTGCATGTTTCTTGCCTACTTTTGGAATGGTTGTTCTCAACTTCTTTCATTCTGTTTGTGTTCTTTCAGTGGTTATTCTAGAAATTATGTATACTTACCTATTTTTAAGAAATTTGTTAGGAGCAGGATTATAAAGCATATGAGTACACAGAAAGGATATTATTTAGGGAATGTCCTGTGTGACGCACAGCATTGCCTTTATGAAGAAGATCTTTGTTAGATTTTGCTACTAGATGTATCTGTTTTTCTCCACTACTGGTTTGTTTTTACATTATAGTTGCTGTAAATTAAGTAACCAATGGTGTGTTCTACATTGTCATGGAAGCCAGGAAATTTAGATTAAATTTCAGACCTACCTCTAATAAGCTTATCTGATCTCTTGGGCTTTTGGTCCATTAGCTGATATTTTGCATCCCTTTCTACCTCCCTTCTCCCAACCCATTTATCATTAAGCCTTGTCAGTTTTATGTTCCAACTGTAACTCAATTTAGGTCTTGTTTTTCTGTTTACATTGCCACCAAGTGAATATTGGCCATCATTTATTTCCTGGACTCTTGCAACAACATCTCTGATTCTGCTTTTTAAAATCCCTTCCAGTCTTTCCAAAGTTAGCAGCCAGAGGGATCCTCCTAAGAAACAAGTTGTGTCATGTCATTTCTGCACTTCAAATTCCTTTAGGGGCATCAGCCTCAGCATGCTTGCTTCTTGCCATGGCTCACTGGGTGGGAATGCTCAAGGTGCACACTGGCTTGCATGCCTTTCGTTTGGTCTCAAGACCTTTGCACTTCTGCTCTTCCTCCTTCCTCCACAGTCTGGCTAACTCCTATGGGTCCTTCATTTCTCACTGTAAATTCCCCTTTCTTTTTTATTGAGACAGAGTCTTGCTCTGTCACTCAGGTTGGAGTGCAGTGGCACTGTCTTGCTCACTGCAGCCTCCATCTCCTGGGTTTAAGTGATTCTCCTGCCTTAGCCTCCGAAGTAGCTGGGACTACAAGTGTGTGCCACAACACCTGGCTAATACAGATGGGGGTTTGCCATGTTGGCTAGGCTGTTCTCGGACTCCTGACCCGCGTTGGCCTCCGAAAGTGCTGGGATTACAGGCGTGAGCCACCGCACCCAGCCTAAATTCCACTTTTTAACAGAACTCTTTATTGATGTTCCAACTTGAGTTATGTCCCTTCTATTGCTCTGTTATAGTCACTCTTATTCTTTTGTTGCACTTACTATAAATTTATTATTTTTTTGATTTTAAAAGAAATGTTTCTAATATAATAGAGGAAGTTTTAGAGAATGATAGAACCAGCATCTATGTGTCCTCCACCTAGCTTTGTCAAATGTTAACATTTGTCTTATTTGTAACAGATTTTTTTCTTTTTATTTTGAGAGAGTCTCACTCTGTCTCCCAGGCTGGAGTGCAGTCACGCGATCTTGGCTCACTGCAACATCTGTCTCCTGGGTTCAAGCAATTCTCCTGCCTCCCAAGTAGCTGGGACCACAGGCATATGCCACCACGCCCAGCTAATTTTTTTGTATTTTTAATAGAGATGGGGTTTCACCATATTGGTTAGGCTGGTCTCAAACTCCTGACCTCAAATGATCCACCCGCCTCAGCCTCCCAAAGTGCTGAGATTACAGGTGTGAGCCACCCTGCCCGCCCAGATTTTTTTCTTACTGGTACAAAGACTACATTATAAATAGAGTTAATTCTGTGTGTGGCTTTCTCTTGTTTCCCCTTCCTATTTTTTTTGAGATGGGGTTTTGCTCTTGTCGCTCGGGCTGGAGTGCAGTGGCACAATCTCAGGTCACTGCAACCTCTGCCTCCTGGGTTCAAGTGATTCTCCCGCCTCAGCCTCATAAGTAGCTGGGATTATAGGTGCCCACCACCACGCCTGGCTAATTTTTGTATTTTTAGTAGAGATGGGGTTTCACCACGTTGGCCAGGCTGGTCTCGAACTCCTGACATCAGGTGATCTGCCTGCCTCGGCCTCCCAAAGTGCTGGGTGGGATTACAGGCGTGAGCCACTATGTCTAGCCAAGTTTAAAATTTTTAAATTAAAATGTTCTCCGTCAGATTGCTGTAAAACTTTCTAAATTCTTACTCTCAGTTGCAATGTTTATCTTGTCAAGGACCAGTAGAATTCAGTTCGTGACCTGCCCCTTTCCATGGACATACCTTGAGTAGCGCTATTCTCGGAATACATCTAGAAGTGTGCCGTGGCGTGGGGCTTTCTTCAGCTTGAATATTGCCAAGCTGCTCTCCGCAGGGCCGGGTCAATGTCAGCCCCACCAGTGGTGTATAACAGGACCCTGTGAATGTATATTCCCACCAACCCTTCTTACTGTCAATCTGGAATGGGGACTGGGAAATAGAAAAATAAATACTGATTTTAATCATTATTGGAGTGTAGATGTGTGTATAGAGGGTTGTGGGTAGGGTGAATATATTGGACATCTGTTTTTCTCTTCCATTTACATCTAAGAGTTTGGATTATTACTTTTATAACTAGTAAATGGTACAGAATTTCACACTGGTGATTGTGCCAGGATAGTTTTATATATTTTGAGGCTAAGTATCTCATGAATTGTAGTTCACAGGCATTGATGGTGGGTGTCGCTTTAGTAATTTTAGTTTATATGTATTTAATACGACGAGGCAAAATTATTCCCTGTGGGTGGTTAGCATTCTGAAGTGTAAATTTCATTGTCTTATGCAGTGAGATCTCACATTTTGGAGGTCATTGTATGTTGTAGACTGATAAGATGCAGATTTTATTCTGACATATTTATTTTCTCATGCTCTTTACTGTGTCTTCTCTCTTCATCTTTTTTGTTTTTCTTTTCCTCCAGTGTTTTTTTTTTTTTTTTCCACCCTGTTGGTATTTCACAGGATTTGCAATCAC